AGACTGGGATCCATGTGGCTCGTGCTTTATTTCATGGTTGGAATCCACTCTCTTTTTGCATGGCTTGATTTTTCCAAGGGGCAGGAAAAGACCTGCAAGTACTCAGCAAGATAAACCGATTCCAAGAAGTCATGATAGCATCTTTCTTACTACTTTTGCTTCCAAAACCTTTTCACATGGTCCCCTTCCTGTAGAAGAGGAAAATCAGATGCTGTTCCCATGTTATATTTAGGGAAACTGAGGCTCATAAACTATAAATGACTTCTCCATAGATACCAGCTTTTCTTAAGAGATTGTATAAATCACAGACAAATCTGGCCAAACCTACAACTATTCCGTTTCATACAGGCCCCACCCGTGTCTGCTGCCCTCCCAGAATTCCGGGTAGCTGTGTTTAATTGGTGTTTCTCCCTAAGTCTCCAATGGGAGCCATAAATAAGGGGACAGAAACATTCCTCCTGGACACAGAACCTGGTGAACATCACCCAAAGGCAGCTGTAAACAGATGCATGTGGGCTTCCTAGACCAGCTCCCTGGGAAAGGTCAAAAGCAGTTTGAATCCTTTAACAAGGCCAGCAACCCCCAGGGAAGGATGGAGTTTCTGAGATCCTCACAAGAAGGACAATTACTAGAGTCTTGCCACTAAAAACTCATTCACTTACTTCCTCTTTCTACTTCCCACATAGGCCTGGGAGAATCTGCCCACATCAGGGGTGAAAATGAATGGGTTTTTCCAACTAAAATGAGAAGCAGTTGCTTTCTCACACCCTAGAGAAAGTGGCCCTAGACCTGCCCACCTGGGACAGCAATGTGGGAGAGTAGGGAGGACGCTGGCCGGGACACTAGAACGCCTGGGCTCCATCCACAGTCTACTGGGTGGTCTCCATTTCCCGTCTGTAAAATGGGGCCAACCACCTCTAGAATGAGCTGTGAAGTCTATTCCTCTCCAACATTCTATGATGTAATCCCTGAGTCTCCCTCTCACTCCGACATGCCACAGCAAGATAAGGAGCTTGTGGAATTTGCGACTGGGCACAGGACTCTCCTAATTCTGCAGATGAGTGAACAGGAAGGAGGAGCAATGGGCGCACAGACCATACTGAAAAGCTCCACTGACAAGCCTTGATTGTGCAGCTTGGGTGAAAAAGCAACGAATGACCTCTGTTATCATCATCAGTGGATCACGGTCAGTGGGAGGATGAAATAGAGCAGAAACAGCTGAACTGCCAACTACGAGTTCAAAGGTGGGCAAAATGTTGAGCCAAAGAAGAAGCGTTTGTCTTCTCCAAATGCGATCTCAGAATGAGGACTAGTGTTGCTAAGAGCAGCTTGGCTCAGTGCTAGGGTCCTGCTCCATTTAAAAGGTCGTCCATCAAACCAGGGGAAGTCGCTGCTGCCTCCTGGTCTTTAGAAACCCTGGCTGGCCCCATCTGCTCTGATCTCAACTGCAGGTCAACTGTCTTCCTCCCCGAGGGGTCTGCCTGGGCGGAAAATTCCCAGAGATGGACCCAGGCTGGCTCTGCCACGACCCACTTTCTGAGTGATACAAACAGACAAAAGGCTGGGGTGTCCAGGCCGCTCAGCATGGGGAGACTGGGTAAGAGTGTGAAGGAAAAGCTGGGCTGGTCTAACAAGATAACTCACAGGTCTAGGAATGTGAAGAAGAGGCTGGGCTGGGCTAACAAGATAACTCACAAGTCTAAGTATTGAAATACTGATCTGAGTTCTGCTGGACTAACTTGTAAATCTAAGTTAACTAGTGTTGGTTTGTTGTTTATGTTTTTTTGCTAGCCAGCTGGATTTTCAAAGATACATATCTGGCTTTGGAATGTTGGTTTGCTGCCTCCCCACCTCCACTTTTGTGATGATAATGCTGCTAAAGCTGTTCCATGCCTATTGGCCGAATACCCCAAACTTGTACTTTACCCTATAAAACCTCATGCGCACTTCTTGGAGGTGCTCAGAGCTTCGGAGCAGAAGCCCCTCTAAGCCCGCCAGCGTAATACATCTGAGTACTCCAACCCTCCGAGTGGTGCTTGTTTCTTGACTGGCCTGTCGTTTCCGTAACAAGAGCACAGGTTCTGGTCTCAGAAGGACTGGAGTGTGACACCTGGATTTACTTGCTGTGTGACCTTAAGTGTGTGAACTAACGCCTCCAAGTTTTCTCCCCTCGTCCATAAAATGCAATGATGATAACACCTACTCCATGTGTTTCTGGTGCTGATTTTATGAGCTCCTGGATATGCTGAAGTGCTTGGCCAAGTCATGGCATACGATTTAAAAATTAAAAAAAAAAAAGGAACTGGTGAAGGTGCTGCTCAGGGGCAGCCCTGGACAGGTGTGAGCACCACACACCTCAGTGGCACAGCAGAGAAGCGAAGGGAGAGGTGAAGGCGTCTGGAGAACCACTCTCCCCACCTTGGCACATTTATGCGTGTCCTGGACACGCCCCCCAACAGGGCCATTGTGGCCACCAGTGCAGAGGCAGCAGGGGGAAGCTGTGTGGCAGGCCAGCTTTCTGGCTGTGACGTGTACCTCTGTTGCCCAGCTTATGAGAGCACCTCACAGCCATCGCAGACGGAGACAAGGAGCTGGGTCAGCAGAAGAATCCAGCATGAACGGAAGATGAGCTGCACCAGAAGGAGACAAACACAACCCACTCTGCGAAGCGAGGGCCTGGTTCAGTTAGGCCAGAGCTGACGTGGTGGAAGGTAATGAGGCTGAGAGGTCTCAAGCAGGGTCGAGGCCTGGCCCTTCTAGCTGCTCCACTATTGAACAGAAAGTTGGAATTAGCTGGCATTCAGAAAGCTGGCAATTCAGAATTCAGAAAAGTGAAAGGTAGGTATTTTCTATCTTCTTGATTAATGAAAAAAGAGAAAAAGCAAAAATGATCAATATAAGGAATCAAAGAAAGATCACCCCTGCAGACCTTACAGACATTAAAAGCAGGAGAAGGGAGTATTATGAATGAACTTACGCACGTACATTCTACAGCTTATGTGAAATGGACAAATTTCTTTTAAAGACATAATTTATCAAAACTCACTCAAGAAGATATTGATAACTTG